ACACTCACGGGATGACTAGGGGTGATGACACCCGCTATTCTTAATCACCACACGAATAAGATAAAGAAACGCCTAACACCGGTTTTCAAACCATTTGTGAGGAGGATGAACAATTTAGTATTTACTGTAAGGAATTAAAAGAAAAGAGGTTTATCGATCTATTAATAAATCCTAGAAATAGTTCGTTAGAGAATCTACTACATTAGTTTACTAAGACATTAGTTACTTTTTCTCAAGCGTTTTTACTCTTTTAAATTTAGTATAAACAAAACAGCTGACATGGAAGACATTTATGATTTAGAAATATTAAGATTTATGGTTTTAAGTAGCCAATTTGTAAATAAAGATAACGTAAAATTAAGACCAAATATCCAATGATTCATAAATGTTATAACTGTTATTAAAAACGAATATTACTGATGACATTTAATCATATAAAATTACACATAATATTACATCGCATTTTCGACGCTAAGTAACTAAAAAAACTATACTTATAAAAAAAACTATAATTCTAATGTCTTTGACCTGTGTTTTAGTATTTAAAAGATCTCTTAAATCTTTTACGTAAGTGGCTAGGAAGTTGGGTGTAAGTATGTTCATCAATGGTCATAAAAACGACATAATCTGAAGAAACCGGTACGAGACATGCCTGCACAATGATTAGTTTCGCACCATTAACCTCACACATATCAACACATCACTTATATAGATTCTATTCTACATAAGAGAGTTGCCTCGACACAAATGTGGTGACTCGACCAGAATGATATGGGCTCAAAGAACTCGTTGCTCTTAACCGAGCAAGTGAGGTAATCAGAGCCCAATCTTCTGCAATCTCAACCTGGAGGGGGGAAGATGACTTAAAGGGCGACAAAACACTTGTGATTTTTCAGTTGCAGGTGTTCACGAGGGGCGGCGTCATTTGAACCTTTTGCATAAATATGTTTCATATCATTGTGGTGACGAATTAAGAATACAAAGTGTCACCACCCCTATTCAGCCTCGATTGACCCATCGGTGTCGTAAGAGCCGACTAAGGGACTAAACTACGCAGGACAACAGCACTGCAAAGAGAAGAAAAACTTGTGACAAATCCTATACCAACCTGTCTGGCCAGCGTGAAAAAGTAATTTGAAAAAGTAATTTTTAAAGAGAGTCCTATGTCCAGCAGTGGACTAGTAAAGGCTGTTGATGATGATAGATGTTTTATATGTGGCATACTTATAAACAAACAATTGTCTATGAAGTTAATAGCAACTTTACGATATCTGTCAAATTGCTGTGAAAGCATTGAAGGCGTTAGGTCTGCCCGAAAATTCAATATATTAACATAAAACACAAATGATGTTTAACTATGATTTTACTCACATAAATAACATGGGAAATAATATCAGAAGTAGCGGATCGAGACTGATGAGCTTCTGTGAAAAATCGAGTAATGTTAGAAGAAACTTGTAGGGTTTGAATTTATAGAAGCAAATTAAAAGTGGTCTTCGACATCTTTATCAGTTTTATGTATCTACTGGCTTTTGCCCGCGGTTCCGTCCGCTTGTATGTCGGTAAATGACCTATGTTACTCACTGATAATGTAGCTTTCCATTGGTGGCAGTATTTTTAAAATCGATCTAGTAGTTTAGGCCTGAAAGCATAACAAACAAACAGATGAAAAAAAAACACTTTCACATCTATAATGTACTCGTAAGTATGGATGTTAGATGGTAATAACAAATTCATTACAGATAAGAAGCCTTAACCTTGCGTACAACTCTCATTTTCTTGATAATATTATAAACGGAATATTTGCCAAGCTTATTTTCGGGTCGTCTGTCTGTCTTTCTGTCTGTCTGTTACGCTTCACGCTTAAACCACTAAACCAATTTAGATGAAATTTGGCACAGAGATCGTCCGAGTCCCGGGAAAGGACATATGGTAGTTTTCATCCTAAAACACATCCTTTAAGGGGGTGAAAAGGGGGGTGAAAGTTTGTTTGGCGAATCAATAACCGCTGACCCGATTTAGATGAAATTTAGTATGAAGATACTTTAATTCTTGAAGAAAGACATAGGATACTTTTTAAAGCGATAATCGACACCACACACGGGCAAAAGCTAGTTAACTATAAAGGGCTTGTGTTAGCTAATGGTGTGTCACCAAATACGTCCAGGGACATAGTTGGAATTTCGTCACTGTGAAATGATACGATCAGAGAAATTTTCCCTAAACGACTAGAAGTTTCTATAATGTGTAACCCCTTTTGCCCTAATAGGCTATTTGACTTAAACTATTTCTTATTTAACACTTAAACTTATCTTTCTCATGAACATCATTTAAGTTTGCAACCCTATTTTGAATTGCAAGCGGTATCTTGACTTGATAAGTATCTCATTGCATGTAGTCGCTTTCATTGGTGTTGATTAATGGAAATATTTCAACTTTATATGCAGGATAAACTGTGTTCTGATTGCATATGTAATATGTTTTCTCCCATAGTCTCTCTAGCTGAATAGCTTATCTGAACGGGTACTTAAATAATCTATTAAATAGGGTCGTGATCTTGATATAATTACGATGCAGGACTAGATCCATGGTAATATTATAAATGCGAAAGTCTGTGTCTGTCTTTCTGTCTGTTACGTCTTCACGCTTAAACCGATTTAGATGAAATTTGGAATAGAGATAATTTAAGTCCCGGGAAAGGACATAGGATAGTTTTTATCAAAGAAATCATCTTTTAAGTGGGTAAAAAAAATATAGTTTTAAAAAACTAAAAAACACGCTTTCTATAGAAAACCAAACTAAAAAATAGAAAATAAATTTGAATGTAATATTTTTTCTTTTTAATTAGTGTATTGTCATCGGTCCTCGATATATCTACAAAGTTTGAACGAATTCTGACCGTTTAAAGTCAGTAAAACGCCCAAAGGAGTCGGTTCCAAACATACAAACAAACATACATACAAGTGAAGCTAATATAAAGCGTGTAAAAAGGAGGGTCGAAGTTTGTATGAGAAATCAATAATCAGTAATCTCTGGAATGGCTGGACCGATTTCGACGGGATTTTCACTGGCAGATAGCTGATGTCATAAGACTTAGGCTATAGGCTTTTTTTAGACTAGCTTCGCCCCACGGCGTTGCCCGCGGTTATAACAACAAACGCGGGTAACACCGCGGGTCTCAGCTAGTAAAATATAAAGTTGGTTGGTATATATAAAAAAATTCTGCATCGATTGAGCTAAAATTTTGACACCATATACAAACCTCTTCAAAGATTGTGATGAATTTTACGCGTCAGTTTTCTTCCTCAATGCAACCACATGTGTCACATCGAAGCATGGTTGGGAACAGCCAGTTTTTTGTAAAATTCTTTTATGTTTGAGTATATTCTACACGATTCGGATAATCATCATCTCAATGAAGACTAGCTAATATATAGTGGTTAGTGATCCTGTGTCCATGTTGTTTATTTATTAAATTTTTAGGGTAATTTAGTTCGGGAGAGGGGTCGTCTTCTCGTCTGTAGATGGCCCGAGATATGTCCGGGCACCAGGGACTAGGATATATTCCTTTCTAGGATATACCTGGTTCCCCGGCTATTAATACCCGAGACAGCGTGCGGTTTTAGTCGGTTCGAGTCCGACATGCCACCGATAGGTGGTATACGAGGGGATTTACGCACGGAAAAAAAAGGTAATTTAGTTACCTATAAGTGACGAGATGCTTAGTCTTAAGATCCATAACTTTAAATATTTACATAACATTGTCCTAGTGTACTCACCGAACAGATCTTAAACACCTTTTCTTTTTCTTAAAATCATCCATCACCTACGTAATGAAACAACTATGTGATTTTGCTAATATGTTGTCTAAACTGTGAAAGCTGTGTTAGCTCGTAAGTGGCATGTATATCAGAACCTTATTACTTAGATTTTACCATAAATGTTACATACTCGTATATATGCTGTGAGTGAACCTAATAAATTAATAAATAGTTGTTTAAGTTCTACTCATTCCAACCTAAAAACATATGCATATTTTAAATCAGAAGAATTTTAGATAAAATTTTATTGATGATAATAAAAAGTTGACGAAAGATTATGACTTAGCTAGCTGTTTTCTATCTTGCTTATCTTGCTTCATTATGTTGTGTATTCTGGAGAAAATGAATCCTATGCCTTTTTTATTCCTCCTGCAAAGTGTTTTTCTATAGAAGAGGGGGAAAAGAGCAGACGGGTCACCTGATAGAAAGTGACTACCACCGTCCATTAATGCCCACAACTAAGGAGTCACAAGTGTATACAAAATTTCATGATGTTCAATTAAATAGTAGAAAGTTACTTTCACATTTACATCACTTCAAATAGGATTTGGTGATAAAAAAATAGTTATTGGGATTCGGATGGCATTACGCTGTGCCCTATGCAGTTTCAATTGTGCAAATTTCTAAAAATATCTTTAACCTATTTAACTGTGTTAATTTATATACTGTACCCATCAAAGGAATCATTTCTGCAATTTTATGTCTCATAATTCATCGTTACATCATTTGTTATCGTCTCATTTTGTGAGTTTTATGATACCAATTCAACAGAATTAGAATGAGATGCTTTGGTATTTAGAGATTAGGAGAGATAAAAAAACAAATAGGTACATCGTAATACCGCTTAAGTAGATTAGAGAAACATATCGCAAAATTTTAAGTTGGTGAAATTACTATCTAATATGATTTTTGGATACAATTGATAAGATACCAGCCCTTGTATCTTAGAATAAACTCCGATGAAAACCGGTTGTCGACCACGCAGAATATATACTATGAACAATTTAAAGAAATGGCAGGTCAGGAGTGCCTGAAATCTGAGGATTATTTACAATGAAGACAGCTTATCAGTAAATTCATTCATTTTCAAATATCGGTAGTTTATTTATGTTATTGTACTCATTAGTGCTTTTTCATATAACATATAAATAGATGTAAAATATGGACCTAATACATATTCTAAAGCTTAGTTCTATTTGCCTTTTTTAATACCAACGGTTGGATTTCTTCAGCTGTCAAACCCTTGGTCTCTGGCAAGAAAAAGAAACAGAAGATAGCAGTTAATAAACATAGTGATGCAAAAATATAGAAGACAGGTCCCCAGCCAATAGCTTTCAAAACGGGGTTGAAGATGAAGAGAATTGAGAAGTTACAGATCCAAATCCACTCGCAACACACCATGGAGAGGATGCTTTTAACCTGCAACAGAACAGATTTTGTTATTTTATACGTACATATATACATACATACTAATGTTGAAAGAAAATATACACACACACACACATATACACATACACACAAATACATACTTTATCATCAAACTACATAATTATCGTAGTTATCATAGTAGTTTGGAAAATAGTCTCTACATAAATATTAATTTCGATACAGTAATTATAAAGGTTTAAAATGCCTTGCAAGATTTGTTTCCATATTTAGTCACAAGTCAAGCTAATAAAGTTTAAAAAACCAATTTACGAGACTAAAAGAAAACTAACCTCTGGCAGAAACATCTCAGAGGCAAGTACCAACGGCATTGTACCTGCACCAATAGTGAATGCAATACTGAACAGAAATATGGACATTGCAGCAATCCAACTCGGTCCCCAGTTAAACTGCATCTGGGTTCCTAAAAGTGCAGCGTTGATAGCAGCCACAAGAGAGCCGTGGATCATAAGAGGCTGAAAGGAGAGGTATTATAATAACAATAACTAAAGGCATCTTACATACGGCCATCTGATCGCAAAGTACTTTGAGCCTGTGCTATGGCAACCAGACTGCTGATAAACATAGTATATCATAAAATATATATTTACATATAGTAGACAAATTACAGCCATAAGTGTGATCAATACAGAATTATTGGTCTTGATTGGAAATGAAGCCCATGACTTCTGACACAGCAGACAGAAGATATGAAAATCACAGTGAACTGTGAATTAACTGTGATTTATCATTCGGTTTTTTCGTACGTAAGTTAGGGTTGCTACTTACATACGCGTTGTTGCTGATAAGCTGTTTTCAGACGCTATTTAACAAAAGTAAGTTTAATTGTTTAAGTTTCACGTTTTAATCGATTTAGTCAAGATAACTTGACTAGTTCAAAATTAAAACTGCACTGATCTGAATTACTCTGATCAGAAATGAGCTGAATTGAAATGCACATAAACAAAAATACAGGGCAGAAGTACAGAAAAAAAAAGTGTTATTTAAATAAAGCACTATATCAAAGGAAATCTTTTATTCTGAAAATAAGAAGGTGCTTAAGAATTAAAAAAGAAGCTTACCCTTCTTCCACTGATATCCGACAAGTAACCTGCCAAAAAACCAGCTCCAACTCTGGCTATCGCCAGAAACACACTAGATAGTGAAGGAGATATCGATGGTACTGCTACCAAGAAAAGTTGTTCTATATATACCAGAATAATGATTTGCCCTTGGTAAATACCCGCTGTCAACATTACGAGATTGATGAACAATGCTCGACGTGTTGATTTAGATTTTTCTGGAATACATAAAGTTGATAACTTATAACTAATCATCGTCATCATCATCAACAGTCTTTAATAGTCCACTGCTGGACATAGGCCTCTCCTTAGAAAGGTACCCGTCTGGCCAGCTTGGTATAGTAGGCCAAAACTTCCTTTCTAAGGAGAGGCCTTATAATTAACAGTATATGAAAATAATAATAATAAATATAATAATATTCTACATCATTCACACAACGCCATCTAGTCCCAAACTAGGAATCATTACTGTATACTGTATTATACGCTAGACAAATGATATAAATACATATATACTTTTTTTTTATTAATACATAAATATTATACATAGAAACACCCAGACCAAATCAAACTTTAAAAGTTAATGCACACAAATGTTTGACTTGAGCGGGAATCGAACCCGCGACCTTTGGAATAGCAGTAGCGTTACACAAACCACTACGCCATTCGGTCGTTATAGATAATATAATAACATCTACAATTTGAATAAAGTCTACAATGGAAAATAGTATACTAACTTAGAAACTGCCAGGTAGATAACTTTTCAACGGGTTTTACATCGGTGTTTAATTTTTCCATTTCAGGTGTTAATTCTGAAAAGAAAATAAAACATTAAAAGGAAAAATTCGTTTCTACACAACAAAATTTGAAGAACTTGAATTATGAATTAAATATCATTTATTGTTGTTTTTTCTTAGTTTAAAGTCTTCATTACCAATAGATTCTTGTGATGTAAAGTATATATTTTAAAGAGTCCTTACTCATAGTTCATACAGCTTGTTTTAGAAATTCAATAGTCTCAAATATAATTATTCGGGTACTTTACTACACTACTCAATCTATGATCATATTTTAGAATGATGTTTCTCAATTCTATTGAAGCTTTAAGAGTTTCAATAGAATTGAGAAAAATCATTCTAGCCGAGGGAAGGATTCCAAGATAATTGTGTACTTGATAAAAGGATTGGCATTAGTAAAAATATTCTACAGTGTTGAGTAAAATATATTTATTTATTTATTTATTTATTGATGGATTTATTTATTTATTGATTGATTGATTGATTGATTTATTTATTTGTTTATTTATTTATTTATTTAAACAATAATAAAAAAACATTTAATGAAAAAATAACGTACCTGTTTGTATGGCTTGTACCTCATTGTCTACAGTTGGTTTTATATTGCGTCTTAAAATGTTGATTTCGTCTATAACTTGTTGGTCATCAATTTTTAAATTTCTATAGAAAGCCAAAGCTTGCATGGATTCCTGTGTAACATGAAATGTAAATAAAAACAAAAATGTAATGAATATTTTCAACACTTTGCTTTAATTGCTTAAAATTAAATGAGAAAGAATTTGCTAACCGATATTTCTAAATAGATGAAACATTTATTATCATCATCGTTATCACCAAAATAGTAGATAGATAGTCCACTGCTGGACATAGGCCTCTCCTTAAAATGGAGATTTTGGCCTACTATACAACGCTGGCCAGACGGTTGGTATAGGGTTTGTGTCAAATTTGCCTTCTCTTTGCAGTACTGTAGTTGTTCTGCGCAGTTTGCTGCCTTAGTCGGCTCTTACGACATTCACGGGATGAACAGGGGTAGTGACACTCCGTATTCTAAATCCGTCACCACATGGAACATTTAGTATAAGTATGTATTATAATTAGCAGGGTTTTTAATTTTATTTTTTAACAGTTTTTACAATTCCTTTATCTAGTGGGAGAGCCATTCCTGATGTAGTCTAAATCGACCTGATTTATAGGGGGGAGGGGAAAGACTCAAAGACGCACTCATCTCTTGAGTTGCAAGTGTCAATGGACGGTGGCAGTCCCTTACTATTGGGTGACTCGTCTGGTCGTTTGCCCCCCAGTATCAGAAAAAAAAGAAAAAGTGTGCTATTCTCACAAATACAAAATAAAATCTGAAATTTCTCACCTTTTCTCTTCCTCTCATCATTAAATAAGACGGAGAATCTTTCAAGAAAAATAGAAGACTCATACAGAAGACTGATATGGATAGGCCAATGTACAACATCATCTTATACTCCAAGAAGCCTCCAAGTAAATAAGACACCACAAAACCAATACTATTGAAGGTCAGAATGGCAGCGCATAAAGAACCTCGAATGGAGTCTTGACTAAACTCACTTATATAAACCGAGGAGATTAGGATCACCGAATTGCTGAGTCCAGATATAAAGACAGCGAGTAAAACTGCTTCTACTCGTCGGCTTACGACTAAAACTGACCAAAATATCTGAAAGAAGAATATTAAATATAAAAAACAAAAAAGAACTAAAAATACCAAATAAACGTAAACACAACAGTTCTAAAACACAGCAATGCGTGTACACACTTGTATACTAATTATACTTACTCTCTACACGCTTTTGACAAATTATACTCAGAAATAAAATGTTTTACACAGCCAAGTGTTATTATTCAAAGTAAATAAAATTAATTTGAGTTTACTTCAAGAAATTGTCAAGGAACAAGGTAGGTTTTACTATATGAAACCGTCAGTATCGCGCGTTAAAAATTAAAAATTCGATTGCACTTCAAAAACTGCCGAATTCAATAATTAAGGGGGCGGACAATACCTATTTATAAACGACACTGCAATTTGTTTGCAGATACTCAATTTTCAGTCACTCAAAGGGAAACTTCATCAATAAAGTAAATTTTTTTTTTTTTTAAGATTGACCGGAGCGCTCGGATCGCCCGTATCGATGCAATGGAAAATATTTGCAATATAGAAATCTGTGTAATTAGTTACCAAAACCCTGAAAAATCAATATTGTTAAATTTTGATTTCGATTGTAATTTTGATTTGGATTATGAATTTCGTTTTTATATTCATTTACATTTATTTTGGTTTTGATTATGATTTCATTAATTAAGGATTTAACTCATTGACTTCCACCAGAATGTATCAATCAATTAGCCTCTTGCAATCCACTGCTGGATATTAGCAGAGACCTAAATCTAGCAGTGGGCTGAAATACCCCTCTGGAATGGTTTAACTAAACATCACTCGTAGATATACTTACAACTACACACAAAGCGCTAGCCAAACAACACTTCTTCCTTCCTAGTTTATCCAACAAGAAGCCAGCCGTCATTGTACTTAATACTGATCCCATAGAAGAAAGACTTCCAAGTAATGATATTTCTGTAACGGTCATTGGTCTATGCAGTGGTGTACGCTCAGATGAAAAAAGCAAGATTGTGAACGCAGGCCACATGAAAGTCACTCCTACATTCAGCACCGTAGAGCATACTAGAACAAATAAAAAAGGTTTGAGTTAAAACCATCACCATTAAGGGTCAAATGTTTAAGTGCTAAAATAAATTCTAATGCACAAGAAGAAGCTTTCTAATTGCAACAAATAATGTGTATTTTTCTTGTTTGATATATGGGAGAGATGACAACTCATCAGTCCAATAATGGCGTTGACAATGTTTAAAATTATTATTAGTAACCTCTTATGCCCTGTGCACCTATGGTGAAATCAATTTTTATTATTATTATTTTGTCTTTAAACAAAAAAGTGACTACCACCATAATTGTGGATAGTATTCATGTCATTTTGTTCTTAGACAAAGACAATATATTACATGTTATATGTTAACATGGTAATATTTTGTCTTTGTTTACTTGATTGTTAAAAATTTGAATGAATAGCGATAAAATTTATAAAATACATTGATTTGGTTACTCGAGCACTTTTCATATCTTAAAGCAACTATGACAAAATAAGAAAAAAAACAAAAATAGAAATAGCATTTTTTCATTAGTTCAGGTGAATCAAGGACGATTGTACATTTTTGCTCTTATTTTATAATTCTTCGAATGTTGAATTAGCAGTTTTTATAAATATAAAGGAATATAGAAATAAAATGATAATGCTTACTTATCATAGCACTTATAACTTGATATATTACCCCCATACCGTTGTTTTCACTAATCCTTCAAATGACTAAAACTCAACTTAGACTGTCAAGATCAGGGTTGGAACTAAACTTGAAATCATGACGAGTCATTTTAAAAAATCGTGTGTTATCATCCCAATAAAAGATTAATTACACTAATCAAACACCATTTATATGAGGTTATTGTCAGTACTAGAAATGAAGGCGGTATTACGTCACATGTCGGATTATCCTAACTGGGCAGTTAAGAGTTTACTTTATGTTATGAAAATTTAAAAAAAAAGAAAACTTAAAAAACTTGTAAACGATGTAGTACATTACATTCAAATGTGTATCTTAACGCTCGGTCATAAGGTTATTATTACTTTACACTTTGTCACATGACCTTGAGTAGGGTTTCCTCATTTTCAATATAATAATAATATATGTTAGTAACAATTCTCTGTACTGTTATATTGGTATTTTTAACGAAATAAAAATGGTACCATTATTATTAATAAATTAAATTCTATGTCCCGATTTTCTGTAATTTTTGATAAAAATTTGATGCTATACTTAATTACTGTTTAAAGAACCATACAATAAAAAGAAATAAATTAGAGTATAATATCAACAAAGACTTTGGAAGCAGATAGTTTGAAGGCTTTCATTCTGCAAAACTTGAGTTCGAACTCGAGTCTTGATGATAAAGTTGGCACTGCAAACTCAACATCACCAAAGATTGTTCTAAGTTATATTTTGCACTGTCGGTGAATATACCCAACTTAAATACAGTTTAACGAAATGAACGAGAAAATTTTATAAAAGAAGAACTTAGAGGAGAGTAGCAGTATGAACGTATTAGTCTTAGAGAGAATTGTATAGACTTTCGTTCATTAAGATACTCTGTAATATTAGAGTAGGTGTTTCGAGGGCAATTTATTTGTCAAACCCAGAAGAACATTTTATATAATTTCTCTTGTATTGTCAAAAGCATATGGACAATGCAAAATACGTGCAACTCGTTGACTTGTATTCTTGCTGCTTTATGTCAGTTATTGCTCTGTAAGATTATCTACGGAATATGGCGATATCGTTATGTGATGTGATAAAATAGATTAATGTATCTGTGAATGTATATTTTCCTTATTAGTGAGTGTTTAACTAATCTGATTACTACGAGACGAATCTCTCAAATGTTTGATACATAGAAAATTTTACGTAATACCAACCATAATTATTAGAAGTTATGAAAACTTATGACAATAAGGAGTTATGGAAACTTATGATAAACTTATAAAATTTAAATACATTGATCTCTAACAGGAAAAGTCTAAACTACTGTTCATTCTAGCCAATGGCGAATTTGGGCCAAAAATACATGTGAACTGAATTTGTGGTCATGTGACTTTGAATGTGTGAATTGACTTTGAATGTTTGAATGTGTGAATGTGACATGTGAATTCAGGGTAGTCACTAACTTTTTTCGTGGTATGGGAGTATAAAGGTGCATCAATCACTTCTTCGTTCGGTGTCCACTCGTTGTCAACAGGTGGTCGTCGTAAACGTCGCGTTGTCAACGTGTAGACAGTAGTTTGTGAGGGATCGTCACTCGCCGATTCATCATCGTCGCGTGTGCATCACTAGCGGACAGTTCGGAACCGGCGCGTAGGCAACGCAAGGCAAGCAACCGTGCGAGCAACCGGTGATCACCGAGTGGTCCAATCGCCGTTCGCGCGTGGCCAGGCAGCGGGCTTGCACCTCGGAGTTGATGTAGTGACCGCATACCCATAGTACTCCATACAAAGAATGCGCTCGAGGCGAAGCGGGCTAATGAGCTATGAAATTAAATGTCGTAAACAAGTAGACCGGCACTTGATGGTAAGTGATTACCGCCGCCAATAGACACCTGCACCTCAAGAGTCACAAGTGCGTTGCTACCCATTTAGCCCCCCTCCAGAATCAGGGGGAGAGAGTAGATTATGAAAAAATCAAACTTATTAATAGTAGAAATAAGAGTAGATATCTCAAAAAAGTCAATCAAGTACAATAATAATTGGTTATTAATGACAAGGAAGGTTGTTGAAGAAAATTCAAGCTGTTTGATTAAGAAATAATTATAGCATGGAGAATAATTATTGCTTAAAATCTTCGAGAGTCATTGTTAAAGTTGAGAAATATGAAAAAATGAGAGAGAGAGAGAGAGAGAGAGAGAGAGCGAGGGGGAGAGAGGTACCGTGCTAGGGCTATGATTCGCCACAAATGTATCGGTTCGACCGGAGTTATACCATGGCTTCACAGAAAACCGGTGTTATTTTCAGAAAAGTAGTTTTTGATTTACACCAAGTGAGTGAGGATGCTGGAGGTGGTATTAATGCACTAAATGACCATTTTGATTACCTTATCATAATGATTATATTCAACTAACACAATAGAACGAAATGTTTCGACAGTTTCGTAGATTGCTTTAAATGTTTATTGACAAAAGTCTTTTCTGCTTTTTAACATAACTTAGTCCCGCTTATATGACATTTCTTGCCTAGAATAGGCAAAAAATGTCAATGTCAAATTTTGTGACAAAGATTTTCAAATTAAAGCTAAAGATCTACTGAGCTAACATTTTAAATAAAAACAAAAATGCATTCTTATCATCATCATCACATCAACAGCATATAACAGTCCACTGCTGGACATAGGCCTCTCCCTAAAAATGAGGTTTTGGCCTACTATACCACGCTGGCCAGACGAGTTGGTATAAGGTTTGTTTCAAGTTTTCCTTCTCCTTACAGTGCTGTTGTCCTGCGTAGTTCCCTTAGTCGGCTTTTACGATACCCACGTAATGAATAGGGGTGTTGACATTCCGTATTCTTAATCTGTCACCACACGGACTGCATAGTTAAATAGTTATATAAGTTTCAAAATTAGTACTCACATTTAGGGTAGCTCGGCTTTATCAAGATCCAGTGAGACGTGTGATGGTGGCAACTGATTCAGGAAAGCCCGACATTTGAACCGTGCAGCCACGGGCTTACCTGAATCAATTATGTGATTAAACCCCATCTCTTTAACAATTGAATAAACAATTTTTAATCTACAAATTATGTTATAAACGTAGTCGTAAATAGTCCGAAAAAAACCCTGGAATTTCCAATGTTATCGTGTCATGAGATAATAATTTAGTTTTAATCTTACAAATAAGATAACTTTTGTCAATCATGAGAAAACATTTTATTGTTGTACAATAAAAAATACATCCGTGCATCCTACCGTGGGAAAGCCATGCTTCGGCAAGCGTAGATCACCTAAAGGCAAGTGACTACTAATATAAGGGAACCTGCAAATTCAAGAATCACAAGTGATTTATTTCACAGATTGGTTGTCCGATCAAACAAGTTTGTTGAAAGGTATACAGAGGTGTAGTATCAAATATCCAATGAGGATGGAAGCTTTATCGAATTCAATCATAATGTACGTAAATTTATATAAAGCGATAGATAACGCAGAGGAAAATGCAATTACCTGGTCTGCGGCGATTGAAAATTCGTTAAAGTTCAACCAAAAGGCGAGGTGATTGATGCTTGAATGAAATTTTGAAAATATAATTTGAAATTTTAAAACCACACACATTTGCTACGATTTCACTTCCCAATCGATCATCGTGAATTTTCGCCAGGCAGTTGTCAATACAGTAGAATTACAGCAAAAGAGCAAAAGATCCTCTCGGGACCCCTAAATGTTCCCTGTAAGTTCTGTTCCTTACACATTTAAAAATAATGTGTCATCATCGGTCACACCGCAGTCCTTACAGTTGGGAGACGAGACTTTGGCTATGAGCAAGCTATATGACCTGTTCTCAACCTTAAGGCAGTTACCAAAGCTTTTCTATTAAGTTCTACGTTTTCGATCCATGAGTATTTAGGTACTTGCGGCTGTATTGTACGATACCAAAAACCTTTCTCTCTCGACCTCTCATCAAAATATTCTTGCCAACACATATGACATTTTTTTTTACGACAATAGTGTAGTCAGTATGTAAAGGCAATACTTTTAATGTGATGCCATTCCAACATGCTTCTTTTGCTAATTGATCAACAATATCAGTCTCCCCAATGTCAACATGTGAGCGAATCCATTGCAGAACAATTTTCCTACTTTGTGATTGAAAATTTAGAATTGACTCCAATATTTGATAGGCTATCGGATTACCTGCATGTGCGAGGTACATTGAGGCAAGTATTGCAAGGAGTTTTGAGAATCACGAATTTATTATAGTTAATAGATTGAACGTATGATAAGGCTTCTACTGCCGAAAGAGTTAAAATCATGTTTTTCTGTTCAGTTAAAAGAATAAGTTCACGCAATGTTAGGAGACATGCCGTGCGATGTCGATTCAACATCATCCATGCTCAAATAGGTACACATTTTAATTTTCAAATTGTAGAATAATTAATGTCGGATCTTCACAAGATACACAATTACGCAAGATGAGAAAAAAAATGATCAAAAAAAACTGCAATATGCACGTCACACTTCTGAACAATAGTCTCATGCAGTGTACAACAGATGCCGCTGGGTATGTTACGTAAAAGGAGATAATTTTTAAGTTAATAATATCACAAAAAATAACCTCAGATGTACCTCACATACGTACGTCTTATCCCTAATTACTATATACTAATATGCAGTCTGCTTAAAAATATATTTACTTATTTATTTAGATAAATTACACCCAGATATTGACGAGCTTGTGCAAAATCACCGCACCGCACAATTATTTTATTAATGTAACTACAATATCGCATTGGAAAAATTCTGTAAAGATATTGTAAGAAAATAAATAAATAATTTTTTCCTACTTGAAAACTATATCCACGAAATCGGCATTGGGGGTTAGGCTCAGTCCCCACTGGTTTACCAACGGTTGTTGTATAGCATATATCTTTTGCTCTATATGGTACAAACAATAAAGGCAAAAATACTACAACATTTGAGAGACATTACTTTTTTTATGGGAGAGGGGGCAGACGGTTCTCCTGGTGGAAAATGACCATCGCCGCCCATGAACGCCTGCAACTCAGTAGTCACAAACGCGTTGCCCGTCTTTTAGGAGGGAGTACGCTCTTTCCTTGAAGGTTTGAAGGTCGTATCGGTCCGAAAATACCGCAGACGATAACTCGTTAAACAAATTAGTTGTGAGAGACAAAAAGTGTATTGAAAAGCTCATAGTGGCACTTTAAAGCTATTTATTTATTTATTTATTAGGTTAACTCACAGCACATATATGTAACATTAATGGTAAAATGTAAGTAATATGGTTCTGATATACATGCCACTTACGAGCTAACACAGCATTAACAGTTTAGACAACATATTAACAAAATCATATTAATGAATCTAGAACTTATCTATTAAAATAAACGTTTAGCAAAGAAATATATTGACGTATTTTTTATTTTCCTTTTAGATGTTTAAGTTAATGACAATATTCAGTATTTGTTATTATTCAATTTTTATTCCTGAGATGTTTAGTGTCGTACTTTCTCAAATTATCTTTGACTTGACGTTGCTTTTAGAAGATGTGAGTGTTACAATATGAGTGTGCGATGTAAAAATGTGACGTCTTTTTAGTTCACGAGAATTTTAATAGATGGTGTTGTACTAAAAATAATTAATTGCGTAATTTCAAACAGATTATCTGCAATTTTTTTTATTTTTATTGGTATAGAGGGCAATCTACCCTTTTTTACAAATAGGACACACTTTATTCTTATTTAAGAATTAAGACCACATATATTCAGGAATTAATTATTTTAGTGTTTCAAGAATGACCGTCTAGTCTCTTGCCGGATATGCTTTAACTAAAAAGGTACTTTATACTTAATTTTATTTTATACGGTTTATAAAGACAACTTCTGCATTAGGAATACATTCATGTGTCGCGCGGGATGTGAACCCACAACCCTCGGCGCAGTAGAAGCGGCGTGGCGACCGCTTAAACCTATACGCTATCCGTGCAGTCAAAATATTACATAGTTAACATATTACATATTCATTTAGCCATCAAACACTGTCTTGATGTTCTACTGAACAGTGAATAGCAAACTCACAGTTATTTACATATAACATGTCATATCTAGATATACAAATCCATTTCATGATCGTTTTTTACAACAGTCCTAAAAATATTACTTTTCTCTACGTACCAGTCTTCACACACACACATAATCGTATACGCACAGGGATACTCACGCATGTGTACTAAAAGGAAAGAGGCGCATTAAAAACTTTTTTTTTACTATAATTTTAGTCCCGATTAAATTATAAGTAGGTGATCGGCAATAGGTTTGGCAGGATGGAGCTATTAGTGAATTAAAGATGAGACAAGCTAATTATTAAAAAAAAAACAGAGATCCTGACTGTATAAAAATGTATACCGTACAAACCGAGGACTTAAATTTTCATATACCCATTGTCACTCACAACTGTCCAAAATATCAAACCGCTTAGGCTTCAGAGAGTCGTCATCATCATCATCATCATCAACAGCCTGTAATAGTCCACTGCTGGACATAGGCCTCTCCTTACAAAGGAGGTTTTGAGGAAATATACATTTATACACTAGAAAAGCATAACCCTCCTTCTAAAAAGTTTGGGTATATTGACAGGAAAATGTAGGTAAGGTGACCGTTGAAGCAAACGTGTTTTAGAGTGGAGACCATAAAACAGTAAACGAAAGGTACAACGCCCACGAGTCAGATGAAGAAACTATGGACCCAATAGACCATTGGACCCTAAAAATGATGAAGGAAAACCGAGACACCTTGCCACTATTTGAACGGCCAAGCCTATGTTCAACAGTGGGCTGCAATTGATTGATTAGGTACTTATCAGTAATCTTTGACGTCGATATTAAAATTTGGAATTAACCTACAATCCCAATTAATTTAACCCGTTCGAGAAAAGATATCACAAGATTGTCAAACTGAGGACCACCTTCATTCACCGACCACTGCACGAAAGGCGTAGTGCTTTAAGTGGTCGCCACGCCGCTTCCTGCTGCTGTGTGTTGTGGGTTCGAGCCCACCATGGAACAATACTTTATGTGATCCACAAATTGTTATCCTGAGTCTGGGTGGTCTGTGTGTCCGTTTCATGTATGTTCGTAAAGTCTCCCACGACACAGGATATTCCTAATACGGTCTTTTTAAAGAAGAGAGATGAAGTCTGTTTTATCCATTCACGAGTGCGTTCTCGTGTATGCATTAATTTTCGTTAATATTTATTTAATTTCGATATCGCTTCTAGAAGCCTATGAACGCCCCAGGAGGCTTCTGCGCTTCTGCCAGGAGCTTGGTTGGCTCATCTAGCCAACCTTTCCTCAACTTATAAAGGAGTCTCTTGTCTAAATGAGGAAATCGTAGCCCACTATTAATACCAATCAATTTATGGAACGCGATAGTTTAAAAGTTGGTTTAACGTTTCGTCTTTACACCTCAGTCTATCCTACCGTCAGGCTGATTTATATCAACAAACATAATCTTCAAAAATTTCACTAATTTCTTTAAATTCAACTGCAAATATTTAAACACTTATCATTTTAAAAACTGTTAGTTTTAAATTATGTATTTTTAAGGGGATTACCAACATTGAATTATAATTCTGCAGGAGAATAATATTGATAAGAAAATGTTAAGGATTAGGTAAATGTAACGAACATTCACCTGTGAAATCCCAACGTTGGGAGAAACGCATTGTTTAACAAATAAACTGCCAGGCTTGCATGTAAGTTATTTATTAAAGAAACTAATTTAAAAAAATACACAGAATATATTTATCTGCGCTTACTTCATTTTACAATGTTTGAATAGAACGATATGTAATATTGTCACTGATAGTAGTAATAAGATGTTAAAATATATAACTGGTCCACACTACATTGAATTGTTACACTGGAAAGTGTTAGCTGTCTAAAAAAATATTTTAATTAAAAAAAAGTGATAACCATTTGGTAAAATGGGAGTGCTCAGACAATTTATTGGAACAGTAATAAGTAAGTTATTTTTAACACGCTTTTATTAGCTTGGTATGTATGTGCGTATGTAGGTATGTAACGGAATCTTTGAACTTGCTTTTGACCCACTTCAAAAAGTCTAATTAAATTTAAACTTTGCACACTCATCAAGGACCGATAACAACGCAATAATGTAAATAGTCTGTCCCACTATATTAACGGTTTTTTCAATGATTTCGAATAATACGGTAGAGTCTTTTCCCACGTACTAAGGTTTACGGTAGTGTCTTTTCTTACGTACTAAGGTTTACGGTAGTGTCTTTTCCTACGTACTACTTTTCCTACGTTACATATGTGATAATAAAAAACCTAAAAAGAAGCACCTTTGTAGCTAGCCGAATAAAAAACATGGAAATCAATTTCTATTCGTAAAAAAAGGTTTCAAGGTATTTTATTATATAATAACTTTACTTTTACCAATATTTGTCAGTGAAATATTTATTATTTATACCCCAAGTTTTTTAATAACAAAATGATTTTGAGCTTATTTTAATGAGGGTCTTGGATCCTCTGACTTGTGCAGAATAATGAATGAGCGTTGATTCTTAATGTGATCTTCTTGAAATTAATGAAGGTCTAGAGCTCTGGTTAACTATAGAAAGTGAATTCCAGAGAGTTCAAAATGCCTTAGGATATGATCATTTAACCAAACCGTGAGAGAGTCATTCATCGGCACATATGGGCCAGCTAAACCTAAGAGATGCCTTACAGAAAACTGATGTTGAGTGATTTTTTCATTACATTTCATCGTAACTCAGGACACTGAAGGAACAGTTATTAAATATTTACTATTGTACCCGAGACACAAGTTCAACCTAGTTCGGGCAAACAAACAAGAAATGTAAAATACATTTGTTATTTGTTTGCCAAATTAGAGGACCATTTATTATAAATTATTGTACTCTTTATATAAATAAATATTATTATTATATCCTTTAAATCTTAGCTGTAACGCTAGTCAATGCAAACCTATCGCGGGCTTACGCCGAAGTGGATTGTTTCGTTGGCAATTACTGTGGGTGTTTGTGTAGTGCAAGTGAAGAATCGCCGAACTATGGAACATGTGTCGATTATAACAGACATTTGCAATAAAATGTATGATTTTTTATGAATTCTTATTATTATTGTTGTAGTAGTCGTTAAATCGATCTAAGTAGCGTGCAATGGGAGAGGCCTATGTCCAGCAGTGGACTGCGATAGGCTAAAGATGATGATGATGAGTCGTTAAATACAATTGAAGCCAAATTCGCGCCAAAATTAATTCGTATCGATGTCGATTTTGACAATATTTTCTGAGACAATTAGTAGTCTAAGTGTTATTCTAGATTGTAATCTATCTTTGCGTCGTATCCGTTTAGATCCATTCAGCCGTTCTGGCGAACAAACATTAATTCTAACTTTCGCATTTATGATATTAGTTAGCTAACAATTTTTGACGTCACAGTTATCGTCAAATGTCTATTTTTTTACATAATACTACATCGAAGAGTGGCAGGGTATAGCTAGCTAAGATACAAAATTCACTCGAAAAATAAATAAAAATACATACAGTGGAACATCCTTTTTTGCAGTCGGTTAAAAACTATCCTTGAAGCGATTTGTATGTTACATCGTACATTTTAAGCTCAATTGGTGCAGATTTTTTTGTGTTTCGGCACACAAACCAAATCAACACTTTTATATAGGATATAGATTAGTAGGTAATAATTATTTCCTCGAATTTAAGTATTTTCTGCTCGTTCCTTAAATATCAACATTAGTATTTTTAAATTAATCAAACATATTGATAGGATACTTTAAAACAATATTACTAGTTATGAATTGATAGTAAACATATAAACTATGAAAGTGACAGTATCCCTATGAATCCTGTTCTCCAGTCTCAAATAAAGTTTTTGCTATTTTAATTTTATTAGCGTGATTGTTTTAAATCTGAACAAAAACACTCTTCTCTTATTGTTTCCTTCATAAACAATTACACAATTGGATGATATATTTTAACTTTCTTACTTATCTGAAAGTATGTAAGGTTTTTGAACTATTTGTCAGTCCTTCAGTATTCAACATTTCTCAATATCCATTTTAAATTAACAAACAAATTTTAAGTGTCCATGCTTAATATATTTCGTGTTATTAAGAGGTCAAACGTAACTGCAAACGGTCATGTAGAACACGGCTGTGCGTCGCCATTTTCTAAATAATTGAGGATGACCTTAGATCCTAATAATTGTTCATCAAATGTGTAAAATAAGGATAAAATAAAAAAAATATTGAATTTGAAATTTTAAATCTTTTTGTTTAGATTCTTATAATATTGTACTGCTTGGCCGGTTAAGCCGCATAATTCAAACCCAGGTTGGGATTTTAAATTATGTGAGTAAATAAGACATTTTGCCGTCCTATCTAGCTGTCATTTTGTTTGTTTTTCAATCAAGTAATAAAGTTTGTGATTATGGATTCTTCATTATTTGACACCACGAGCTGTTCATACCATAGTATAGATGAGTATCAATGGTCTTATTGTTTCCAGTATCAACACTAGGCATTGACATGGGGTTTATATTCACTTGGCCTGCATCCACCATGATACAATTTGGGTCTGCAAACACCACGTTGAACAGGCCCATGACAGAAATGGAAATATCATTACTTAACAGTTTGTCTTCAGTTGGAGGTTTGATAAGCACTTTGACAGCAGGCTTTATGCTAGACAAACTGGGCAGAAAATACTGTTCCATCGCTGTCTCTCTGAGTTTAGTGGTAAGTTCATGACACAAGTAACAGATTTGTCCTTCTTTTGTCAATTTTTACAAAAATAAATTTATCTACTTCTATTACCTAAATCCAGACTACGGGTCACGGTGGTTGAGACTTCTTTGACTGAATAATGGAATAGCCGTTTACATTGAATGTGATGATGAATCGTGATGGAGATGGTACTCGCTTATTCAAGAGAAACTTATTTAACTACCTTACTCTTCGATATTTCTTCTAACTGTCTGTGAAATAGACACAGGCAGTTCGATCACCACTTTAGAAACTCAAACTAAAAAGGAGCTATCAAAGTCAGTTCGGTGATTTGTTATTCCGACAAGGAAATATTGAAACCTCTGTCTGTGTCTTGTAATCCGAAGAATAATCATGGTTCAATTATTTTGAAGAGAGCTTTTGAACACTCACAAGAGTTCCATCAATAAAACCGAAAGACTACTTTTTTTTTTTTTTTTTTTTTCTCTTTATTAAACATTTATAATACATACTTTTTCATGCTTAAAGTCTGCCAAACTGTAAAAACAGTTTGTCGGCAGTAGTTCTCGTTTACGGATACATAATAACATAAATGTAGGTATTTTAATACAAAATTTGTTAACATTTCCAATTATTGTGTCAAGTACTCGTATACTAGTAGACTATGTCTCAAAAGTAATGAAACGGGCAATGCGGGTATTAGCTATTTGTTATGGACATAACGAGAGATAATGTTTGTGAAGTTTATTTTTAAATTGAAATTTTGTCTGTACCTGTTTTACAAAATCTGAAGGCAATTCATTGAGTAGAAACGGTACCATATAGCTTCTTGTTCGTTTACCGAAGTAGTTCGTGATCTTTGGAACGACAAGTTTCCTCTTTTTGGCTAGACGGGTTATGAAGATGCTCAGGAGTACGTCGTTCCGTCTTCATGAGTAAATCGTAGTTTTCAATTCGAGTAAAATAAATATTATGCCCACAAGTTACCATCGACACAAATTCAACAAAAAAACCTTCTTTAATAATGGATTCAATTTTCTTACAGCTCATCTGGGTTATGTTAATCGTCTGGAAACAAGTGGAAGTCGTTTTATTCTGTATTTTCCTATCAGGTGTCAGTAGTTCAGCTGCTTTAATAGCCTCGGTCTATATAAGTGAGATATCTCAAGAATCTATTAGAGGAACAATGACAGCTGGTAATATGATCTCCTACGGTATAGGGGGATTGATGCTATTTAGTGTATCTGGCAGTCTGTCGTATGACACAGTATTGTACATTGGACTTTCTATAGCGATCATTAGTACATCTTCTTTGTTACTGATTAAAGATTCACCAATGTATCTGATGACGATTGGAAAGGAGAAGGTGAAAACATTTTTTTTTTGTTTTTGAGAAGTCATAATAATATAAGTTTAGGTTAATTTTATTATTTACTAACTTTTGCGTAACTGCTTGTTTAAATATCTTTAAATATATCTTTTAAATATATTAATATATTTTAGCATATATTATCATGTTTTCCGAGGCTTTTGTCCTATAATCTATCTGTTTGGCCGTGAAAAACCGTTCCGCCGTTCTGGTGCAACTGGGTAGTAAGCATTCATTTAAAACTAAGAAATAATAATATGACGCTTGATTTAAGGTTTTTTTTTATAATATTAAAAAAATCATAATCATTATGTTTTTCTTATGGTGACGGATTAAAAATACGAAGTGTCACCACCCTATTCATTCTATGGGTATCGTAAGAGGCGACTAGGACAAACAGCACTACAAAGAGATGGAAAACTGAATACATACCCTATACCAACCCGTGTGGCAGTAGGCAAAAGCCTCTTTTTTAAGGAGAAGCCTATGTCCAACAGTGGACTATTAAAGGCTGTTGATGTGATGTGATGTAGTGAGCTAAAAATTTAGCGTGTGGATTATTTTATATATATTTTACTACGTTGTGGTTAAATTCAACTGATTTTTGCGGATGTGCTGACTTTTTTCCTGTGCGGAAATTCCATCTAGTAGGCCAGAATCTCCTTTCTAAGGAAAGATATATGTCCAGCTGTGGAATATTAAAGACTACTGATGTGAGATGAATCATTGACTTTACAGGAGGCTGCAGAATCCATAGCTTTTTACAGACAATTGCCAGTCATGGATAAAGAAGTTATGTATGAAGTAAATGTACTGAAACGCGCAATCAACATGGATCAAGATGGTAAGTGGAAAGTTGTATGAACTTTGAAGTACAAACAATAAAAAATAATTAAATTCGAGTTTAAACATTCTTTGTAGGTCTATATTCATCGTTATTCTAATATTTTTGGGATTCGTTACTCAAAAGAAGAAAATTAAAACTTATTGGATCACTTCGTTGTTCGGCGGTATCAAAACTCAAACTTCTAAGTCAACACAATCAAAAATATCTATTGAAGACTTATAATTTAACAGCTCGTAGATAAATTTAAACTTCTAGGGTACTTTTCATTTACCTGGTTCCCCGGCTATTAGTACCCGAGACGGCGTGCGGTTTTAGTCGGTTCGAGTCCGACATGCCACCGACAGGTGGTATCCGATTGGTACTTTTCATTGATCTAAAATTACGAACTTTAGCGAGATGCAATTATTCAGGATCACTAAGCTCTGAGCCTTTTATATATTTTGATTGGCATGATTCACATATTGGCTCAAAAGTGCTAAATAGCACTGTGAATGTGTGCCAAATATGTGCACGGATGGCGTAGAAGTTTAAGCGATCACCTCGCCGCTTCCTACTGCGCTCAGTGTTGTGGGTCAGATCCCCACATGGGACAACACTTTGTGTGATTCAAAAATTGTTGTTCTGAGTCTGGGTGTTATATGTGTCCGTTTAATGTATGTATGTAAAGTCCTCAGCGACACAGAATATATTCCTAGTGCGGGAGTTCTATTAAAAGAAATATATATTACCAACCAGCTGACCCGCGCAACTTCGTCTGCTTTTCTCAAAAAGAACAAATTTTGCACATTTTTCCCAACATTTTTAATTGATACTCGGCTCCTATTCATCGTGGCATGAAGGTATACAGCCTATATCCTTTCTGGATAAAAGGACTATCCAACAATCAAAGACTTTTTTCAATTCAATAAATACTTTTCGATAGATTTAATAAATATTTAGACTACTACTAAGGGGGATACTTCTTACTTACTGCTTAGGACTACTACTTACACACTTACCTAACTAGAAACTTATAAATTGCTAACGTAAGTGGTCGAATAATCTTATGTCTAAAGACTAAGGTGCATTGCACCGTTAATTTGCCACAGAAGGTCAGGCTTTTAACTCGTGGCGTCTGCCATGAAGTTCTGAATAAAGTGCCGACACGAATTCGTTGAACAAGTAAGGTGTTTAAACACAAGTACATGATTAGAGCATTTTATTGTTTATTTATATTATTTATTTGTTTTAAGGAAACTCTGCAGCTAGTTTGTAAATTACAATTTTCAGCCTCAGCTGATTGCATTTACAACAAACTTAAGCCAATTACAGAGTTCCACGGCAAATGGTGGTAGGATATTATATCTAAAAAGACCTAATAAATATTAGTTTAAAACTCTCAAGTAAACAAAAACGGTAAATTATTAAATTAAGTGCACTGTTATTTACATGTAATAGATGGATAGCTCATCAGTAGCAGGAAGCAGAGATTGGGGCACGTTTGAGTTCATTTTTGAAACAATTTTTATATAAGTTAAATATGTCTATATCGCTGAACATATTTTTGTATATTTACACAGGAACGACACCAGAAGAGGAAAAATTGAAACCGGATACGAAATCGAAAGAAAAATTGTCCTTCTGGCAGTTTATGAGTAAGTATTTTTCTTAAATTTTCTTATTTCTAAAATTAAAAATATATTATTTTATTTGAAACATACACACACAGTCATCTGATCCCAAACTAGGCACAACCTGTACTATGGTAATTTAACTGTTGGAAAACATACTCATATATTTCTGAGTACATACGTATAGATAAATTACATCCAAAGACAAACTAAACGATTTAACTCACGACCTAGGTCATAGGTTCAGCAGGAAAGTAAACTATCCGCATTCGAACATTACACACTAAACTGACAGGCCTCTCAACACAATAGTAGTAATAGTCTAATCTCAATTAATAATCTTGATAGCTGAGGCTGTACGTCAGAAAGATTGTGTCAAACAATCTGAATTTCTTTGTCTAACAAAGTATGGAGGACGGGTGTCATGTCCCTTCAACACAAAGAAAGGATCCTCCAATGCGACCCAATAGTTGATATTGAAAATTATTAATATCGCGATACGGGATTAGTGGTTGCTCCGTAGTTCAGTATGTCTTGGTCTGATGGCGCTGTAATATATTTCTGTTTCATGGTATTTGGAAGTCGCCATAAAAGTGTAGTTAAATTCCATGATGTCCTGCTGAGTAATTATTATGACATATAAGTCTAACACAGTAAAAGCAGTTATATTTATAATATAGTTTAGATAGATCACATTAATAACAAAATAAAAAGCTATTGCTGCCTTTATATAAGTTTAGATAAATCACTGTTTATTGCTTCAATTGCCCTTAAAAGTACCTACAAAATTATACTAGATTACTACCACAAAACTGAGATCCTCTTCAATAACGTATTGTGTTAATTTCTTAATTAGGTTCTATATGACCCCAAGCAATTATTTGAAATCAAATTTTAATTAATTTAAACACCAATATTTTTAATTATTTATTTAACTTAATGCACAAGTTGTACACAGGCGCGCTTAATGCCTAAGGCATTCTAAGATACAGACAGGTTTACCTACTGCCTAGTTTAAGAAAGAGAGTCCTATGATCTATTATTGTATATATGTTGTACTAGTTTTTCCTGGTAAATTTAAGTATTATAAGACAACACTGTGTGCCATGTACAAATTACTAACTTGAATAAATTGTTATTATTATTAGTATATTATTCTCTGCCAGTCGACCTTCGGGTGATGTAGATAAATGCCGTAGGTGCAAGAGAAAACAGAGATTTTTTTTATATTAACTTTATTAATTTAAGATAAATGTAACTATCATAAATACCCTATAAATAAAATACTATATTCATTACTACATATATACATAGAGGTCTCAAGTATACACATACAATACATGAACATACACATTTATAAATACATAAATATCAAAATACATAGTCGGGTACTAGCGTTGCGACCTTTCTGCCAACTTTTTTTTTTTTCTTATCTTCTGTTACAGAATTATTATCTTTTGTTACAGAATTAATATTTTCTGTTACAGGAAAGTCTCGATCTTCTCGTCGAGCATTCTACGTGAGCATCGTGTTACAAATCGCAGCAGTGTTCCAAGGTCTTATTGTCGTGCAAACGTATATACAACCGCTTATTATGAAAACTCTACCTGCGTATTCACCTGAAGTTTGTAGTACAGCTATGGCTGCAGTAACTGTTGTTACTTCATTTTTTGCAGCGTATTTGACTGATAAAGCTGGAAGACGGGTAAGATTTCGAACTTTGACCTTGTGATATAACACCTTACTTACGTATATAAACCGGGAGTGGTGTGCGCGGCAGGCGCTAAAAGAAAAGAAGAATGCGCCTGCCGCCCGCACCCCTCCCGGTCCCCACTTTCGTCCTACCTCAGCGCCCCTGTACCCCGCAGGGAGGACTCAATAATAGGGAATATGCACGTGACACCGAAATGGACAAAATATTTTTATTTGTAATTTTTGTTGCTAAATAAAGATACCCATACAATTATTTTTGAAATTTATTATAATTTAATAGTGAAATTTAATCATCAAAAATTGGCTTTTTTAAGATTCCCTCGCAAATTTCTAAAACGCAACGCTATTGGTTGAATAAAACGTGACGTCAACCTACACTGTCAAGAGTGTCAACAAGTTGTGTGTATTTGTAATATTTGGTTTCTAGTGATTATTTGTTTCATTTTAAGTTAATAACTAATACGTTTTCAGTGTTAAATTATTAAATTCCCGTGTAGAAAGACTCAACACAATGACTGGATATTTAAAATTGCACTTTGTCAGGTGCAGTTTTGATATTATTTGGGCACAAAGGAACGGCACAATATTTATAATAAGTTTTTATTGGCTTTTCCATGGTAATAAGTTCATTTTTATCACTCACTTTTTTAACTATCACAAACTTTGTGAACTTCAATCCGTTGTTGACATCGAATTCGTCTGAAAGTGGAATCTGACGTCACAAAAAAAGCGCGCCAAAATGGACGTGTTCAAATTGCCCCAAAATGATAGTGATTTTAATAAAAATTTTTTTGCTTAACGGTTTATATTTCGGGTGTGTTATATTTATTTTTGGTAATGTAATAACTAGTAGAATCGTTAAAAAAAATAAAAAAAATACATGCATATTCCCTATTATCTATAGTTGTGTAATATAGCCTTCAACATCGAGTACCTTCGTTGCTCCCGAAACTAGTCAACTTACTGTATACTTTAAATAAAACGATAAAACAAGACAGTTATTAAGAAATAGGACTCCTCACATCACTTCTGTTGTTCTAGTCTTATTAATTGTAGCTTTTGTATTTTTTGACGTATTGTTTATTTTACTGTTGAGTGATCTATTCATTTTCCAAAACTATTCCTATGTTTTTTCGAATATTTTCATCACCATCGCGGTTTTCAGTTGTTCAGTACAACTAAAAGGTCGGCAAAGCGTTTGTGACTCCTGAGTTGCAGACGTTCATGGGCGGCGATAGTCACTTTCATTCAAGTTACCCGTCTGCTCGTGTGCCACCTTTACGAAGGTCAAGGAAATTTGATCCCCCATTTATTGTTTTTCAGCCTCTTATGTTCTACGGATCCATCGGTGCCGCGGTCACCTGTTTGGTACTTGGCACACAGATTCAATTTCAGTGGGGCCCCACCTGGATTACACTAGTCTCTCTGTATACATTCCCAATAATGTACACTTTTGGGGCAGGCACTGTGCCAAACATATTAGTGGCTGAATTGTTCTTACCTGAGGTAAGGTAGTTTTTTTTTATATTTTTACAAAATCCAGACCAAAACCTCCTTTCTTAGGAGAGGCCTATGTCCAGAAGTGGACTATTAAAGGCTGATGAAATGATGATGTGATCCAGGAAGCTTAAATTGTAGTTCTTAACATAACACATACTATATATATATATAGTATACATACTATATATCGCAGTCCCCGACGAACAAAATCGTAATAGGAAAATAACAATTTTACAGGAGCAAATAAAAACTGAATATCTTGAATACTATCAAGACTAAAAAGAAGATTCTTTTATCAAAAATAAGGAAATATTTTTTTGCACTAGATTTTTACTAAATTTTTATCATAAATTTTCTTTATCAGTAAGAAAATTGTGAAAATGTCCATTACTGAAATAAGCTATGGAAAAAATTAACGCAAACTAACTTTACGATAGTGTTCGACTGTAATCACAAATCGGTGTTGCTGTAGTAATCGTTCATTATGATATTGTTCCATGGTAAATATGAATATACTTTATATTCGTAAAATGACATTGCAATCGTATTCGATGATATAACTGACTTTAATATTACGGTAAACATAAATTACATGCTTATTCGATGATCATTTTTAGGTGTTATAACCATTTCGGTACCTATGTATAAATTCTGATTCTGATTCTGTCATTTTTCCCTCGAACAATATGGTAATAGCCGCTTACTCTAAAATGTTGACTTTTGAGATTTGGTAATAGGTTTTTGCGTTATTGATCGTGTAAATTTTTCACCTATGTTATACGTCGAACAAAAACATAAAGATCATTATTGAATGGATAAATCCAAAAGTATTCATCGCCCGATCATAAAAAAAATTCAATGATTGTAATAGGGTGTGTAGATAACGAATATCTAATAAACCCGATTCTATCGTAATAGCGATTACCATAGTGTTCGTCGGGGACTGCGATATATATAGTATGTATTATGTCTTTAAGTTCTAACTCCTGGTTTTTAAGGTATATTTATAGTATGTGTGTTCAATATATCAAACGAGTTGTGGTTCTAAAATTGGACACCTGAACACATCGGCATTGGCACTACAACTGTGTTATTGTTTGCAGCAATAAACAACAGTCGTAGTATTGAAGTATCTAAATAAATATCAACAATAAAGAATTATGACGCGTTTCAAGTATTTCCAAGTAGAAAAAATATTTCCATTATAATAAAAATAAGATCCATTTGTTTTCAGCGAAAGGTTCATAAGCCTATTTACAAATACATTTGTGCATCTCTCTCTCTCTACATTTGTGCATCTACTCTTGCACGCCAAAACAATCTCTTCTAATAATCACTATTTTATATTTATTTATTGAAAATTCTATTTCAGGTTAAAAGTATTCTTTCCATGGTGATTGTCGAGATGTCTTGGATCTTGTACTCTGTCGTGCTCTTCATTTTTAACCCTATCCTTAATAGTCTAGGTTGGGGACCTGTCTTTTACATATTTGCAATTTTATGCTCCTTATCTTCTGTCTTTTCTTACTTCTTCTTACCAGAGACTAAAGGCTTAACTGTTGAAGAAATACAACCATTGTTTAATAAAAGAAAGCACCAAAACAATGTATAGGAATAAATTGGTATTTTGTGACATAACAGGATAGAATTAAGTGTGATATGAGTAATGTTTTGTAAAAATGACTGTGATTAAAAAAGATAAATACATATTTTTACTTTGTTTTTATCTCATACATCCCTTACTTTTTATTTTACAATCAAGTAGTTGTGTTATCACATCACATCAACAGCCTTTAACAGTCCATTGCTGGACATAGGCCTCTCCTTAGAAATCAGGTATTGGCCAATTATACTACGCTGGCCAGACGGGTTGGTATAGGGTTCGTGTCAAGTTTTCCTTCTCTCTGCAGTACTGTTGTTCTGCATAGTTTTTTCCCTTAGTCGACTCTTACGACACCCATGGGATGAATAGGGGTGGTGACACTGTATTCTTAATCCATCACCACACGGTGTTTGGTTTGGTTAGTTGTGTTATAAATGATAATAATTTGTAATTCACGAACTAAAACATGCAAACTTGTAAGAACAAAATCTCACCTCTTACTATATCTAGACAAATATATCCTTATCTTGTTATTCTCTACTAAGGCTACAATTTTATGAACTAAACTCTCCAATACAGACATAGACATTTTATCTTAATATAAATCTAATATTAAGATAAAATGCCTTAATTAATAGCCAACAAAGGCATTTGGCCATAAAACTCAATGTTATTACAAGTGGGAAGTGATAAAAATTATGTAGCGGAAATTAGGGTAAGGCTGAAACATTTAGCCGTTGAGGAGCTATTCTTCCGCACAATTGGGACGTCTCAACCGTAGTGATACTACAGCCTCACAAAACATCGGTGTTAACAATGATATTTTAAGGAAGTTTTGAAGTGTTAACAGAGTGTTAACCGGTGTTAAGCAATTCTTTCGTTGCCTTTCACTTAGTAAGTGAGGTGAGTGAGCCCAAATCCCCCCTCCTGCTGACTAGACCGGGAGGTACTCCATGGGCGCCGGTAGTTGCTTACCATCAGATGACCCGTCTGCTCTTTTACACCCTTATACCATAAAAAAAAAATCCGTAACACTATATATACATCTAATAGGTCTTTGCCTATGAAATTGCACCTACCGACTATTACTTCTTCCAAAATTTAGACAACTTTTTAGTGGGTAAAAAATTCAATTCCCGAGAGGCAGTACAAAATCCCTTTGAAGAGTTTGTTGCCTCCCATCCAGCTGATTTTTACAAGAAGGGCATCAATAAACTGCCAATGCGTTGGCAAAGATGCGCCGATTGCATGGGTGATTACTTCGAATAACAGAAATAAAAAAGTTTGAAAAAATAAGTACTTTCACTTATTGCATACAAAACGGCAATTTCATAGGTAAAGACCTATTATTAATGCATTTTAGAACAAAACATACACTAAAAGTGCGATAGGAAATAGGGAAAGCATAAGAATGAATGAGACAGCTATCTGTAATCAGTACAGCTACAGAAGGTATTCTACGTTTTTTTTCAAATTAATTCATACTTGCGCGCGCTTTTTGTGGTCCTAATTAGGACCCTCACCGATACCTTTTGTATGTTGTCTCATTGCTTTTCATCGACTGAGCATGAAAAAAATCGATTTCTAGTCGCTCGTTCCTGATGTTTTCGCTGTAATCAGTATGAACAAACGACAATTCCTTGAATGAGGACCTAATAGATTGGCTTATTTTTCTTTTATGACCATATATGAGACAGAGATGAAGCAATTTGAAAGAATAAAGGAAATTGCACAAAATATTGGATCCCCACTGGATAGGTTTTTAGGAAAAAATATTGGATAAATCTAAATTTTTTAAAATTTTAGTACAATCAGTGTCACTCACACAATAAATAAAGGTATGACATTAAGCCCTTTAGGGTACTGAGCGTGCCCAAAGAAATTTACAAACAAGCACCCAAAATATAAAATCCTCCTTCTAGCGCAGTCGTGTAAAAAAGCTTATAATTTATAATAGTACAAACTGTAGAATAACAATAATATATGATGTGAGAAGGTGTAGTAATCGTAACGGAACTGCAGCATCCACGGCGTACAAACCGCAAGCGCTTAATTTCTTGAATGAAACCGCTTGCAAGCGCTGAATATTCTTGCAAATTCTTCGTTGTGTAACTGGAATAAATGATAAAAGATTTGTTGAATGAAAAATATATGTTTGTTTAATATGAAACTGAACTAAAGGCAATGAAGAATTTTATCGTGATGTTGATATCACATATAACGTAATTGAGTCACAAAATAAATCAAAATGTCTGATGAATTAAATTAACTAAACTAGGAATCTTACGGAAGTGAGTTTACCAAAGTCGTAATCAGTTAGAGTACAAAAGATATATATTTGTTAATTGTTTTTTTTATGGTATAGGGGGGCAAACGAGCAGACGGGTCACCTGATGGTAAGCAACTAACGCCACCCATGGACACCTGCAACTCAAATGTCAGAAGTGTAGATCGTATTGGGACCGAAAGTTGAATCGGTATTCTGCTCGTCTTAATAATACTTTAATAACAACGAGAATATCTTTCATGACATGTGTGAGGTCGAGAGTAGATTGAAATTGAATTTCGAACGAATTTTTATTACGAGAATTTAACTTTTGGACGTGTATTTAAATGAGTTGATACACGAGCTGAGCTCGATTAGATTTCGAGGTCATATAGACAGAGTGAGCGTCATAAACAGCCTTTAATAGTCCACTGCTGGACATAAGCCACTACTTAGAAAGAAGATTTTGGCCTACTATACCACGCTGGCCAGACGGGTTGGTACAGGGTTTGTGTCAAGTTTTCCTTCTCTCTGCAGTGCTGTTGTCCTGCTTAGTTTTTTCCCTTAGTCGGCTCCTACGATACCCACGGGATAAATAGCGTATTCTTAATCCGTCACCACACGGATATCGGACATCGGAGTGAGAGTAAACACTATTAATTACGTGGACAATATGGAACTGATGAGTGCATCCATTTGTAAACCTCTAAAGTTGGTAGCCGTAAGACGGAAGACTGTAAAAAATCTGTCAAACATATGATTTGTTACATATTTTAAAAAAGTCTTCGAAGCCCCTGACACATATAATACTCTTACCTGATGCTCCCTTTTCATTAATATTTCTGCAAATCTGCAATTTAATCTGCAAAATTTGTTCAGAATATATGTATAATAGTTATATGGTATTAAATTCATAGGTCTTTTGTGTAGTAAACTATTTTATTAACTTACTTGGTCATTCCATTGTTTTTTAAAATATACAAGAATTAATACAGCATAAAGGGCGCGCGTGAAAGTGACTATTGTATAATATAAAATCTGAAAGGAAATTATTATGTAGATTAATTCAAAAGTTGGAACTGAAATTACTGTAATTGTTTTGACTCTGCAAAACATACTTGTCCATTAAAAGTATTTTCAATTACTTTATACACCTTTAATATTTCATCATATACTTCAAACATAGTATTCCAGTAACTTTCTTCTACTGTTCCTTCTAACCTTTCTGATGGTTTAGTATTCTCAATCCAAACTTTTAAAGACGTTTGCACTAGATGCAATAGTCTACTAGCATATAATACATTACAGTCGAAGCAAATAACTAGGATTGTAATAATAAAGTTGTTAAAAGTGAATGTCTGATTATTAATATAAAATAAAAGGATCCAAAAAATATAAAAAAGATATAAGGCAATAATGGTTGCCCAATTAAATAGAGTAATATTTTTTATTTCATTTGGATTGAAATTCAGTATTTTGTGAATACGTTGTAGTCTTAAAATCGAAAACACATTGACGTGTCTGTAAACTATGTTTGTGGACACATTTAAGATGTACCCGAAGGTGTAAAGAACGCCATCAACAATGAAAGTGCAATAAAGAATATTGCTTAGCACTTGTCCCTTATAATATGAAAAAGTACACACAATATAGATAAGAAAGAATGAACACAGAATAGAAGCCGAAACTGTACAAATATTGTATAAAAAAGTGTTGGAAGTGATGAAGTTGTTACGAATTTTATATTTAGCAGTGATGAAAATTGTAGGTATTATGTTCAAGGACCTCAGCATAGCTTGCATGTCTTTCTCCACAATATTATTTAATAAAACCTCATTGTTATTAGTTGTTATCTGTACTGAATGAACTGTAACATGATTATTAGCAATAAAATTAGTTTTAAAATCAAAAGACATTTTTGAACTAAGTCTGATAGAAAATACTAGATATAGTACAGTAAATATTGATCCAGTCTGTAAATTAATTAAATTAGGTGAGACTCTCCATTTTTATTACTTAGTTTTATTGTTGTTGAGGACATTTGATGCTGATAAGGAATAAATTAATTTAATTGCTAAAGAATAAAGATAATATATGTGTGGTGACGGATTAAGAAAACGGAGTGTCACCATTTCTTTCATTTCGCTGATGTTGTAAGAGACAACTAAGGGTACAAAGCACGCAGGACAACAGCACTGCAAAAGAGAAGGAAAACCGGACACAAAACCCTATACCAACCCGTCTGGCCAGCGTGGTATAGTAGGCAAAAACCTCCTTTCTAAGGAGAGGCCTATGTCCAGCAGTGGACTATTAAAGACTGTTTTCTTCTAAGCCGGTCATTTTGTTATAGGAATGAAGTCGTAGGTTGTTTGTTATTTTTTTAAAGACAACTCCTGCACTAGGGATGTAATCCTATCCCGCTGGACTTGCAAACACATGAAACGGACACAAAGAACACCAAAACTCAGAACAACTATTTGTGAATCACACAAAGAAGTGTTGTCCCATGTGGGGATCGAACCCACAACACTCAGCGCAGTAGGAAGCGCTTAAACCACTACGCTATCTGTGCAGTTTGGAAATATAATTAGATGGATGTCACAATTTTTTATCTTACATTTTATTGTGTTTCTCTCGTTTCATATTTTTTTATTGCTGTTTTATTATCTATAGTTAAACAAATAAAACTGTCATTATTTAAAAAGTAATACTTAATTACTCCATTACAGAAATACTAAGCTAA